GGTGGTGTACTGTCAAGGTGATAATCATGATTGGAGGTGAAAATGGGTGTTGGTTAATTTGTGACCAACCATTTTTTTATCTGTGACCTAAAAATTATATAATTTGTGACCGCGAAAGAATCCGTGAGTTTGTGACCAACTGATTTTGAGATTTGTGACCGTGTAACCTATAAAATTTGATCTGTGACCAACTGATTTTGAGATTTGTGACCGACGAATTAATTGTGACCTACAAATTTTTTAATCTGTGACCATTAAATAATATGTGACCAAGAATTTGGAAATATGTGACTTATGAATAAGCTGTGAACAATCTGTGACCATTAATTCTATAATTGTGACCATAATATATTTAATTAATTCACTAATACCTGATTTATGAATTTTGAAACTTAAAACCTCAATATTGATTTGCCTCATTCCAAACACCTGAATTTTGAACTCTTCCCTAAAAAATAATATATTAAAAATAAACAAATTTAGCCAGCCTTTCACGTCTGGCATGGGGTCCAAGTCCAATAAGTCAATTCCAAGAACAAAGTTGAAATAATTTATTTTTTAACGTCAAGAAAACTGTCACTTTATCAAACCAAAATTGGTCAAATTAGTTGGCAAGAAATGTCAAATAAATGTCAAAAAATTGCCTAACTGGAAAACAGCATATTCTTGGAGTGAGGCCAAAATATGCTCTGGTGAATAATACATGATCCCTCTACACAAATAGACGGAGATAGAATAATTTATAAACCATTTTTTAATTTAGAAGAAATGAGAGAGAGAGCCTCTGTTAACCAAATCTATTTGTTGTTATGTGAATTGTGGGCTCCTATTAATGTCCTAAACTTCAAACTTATGCCCCTTAAAGTTTGTTTATCTTTCGCTTTCTCGACCTCAATTTGAGTAATAAATTCATGTCAATTTTTTAATATTTCAATTGGGTTTTCTTTTTCTTGCAAGTATATGAATAATTGTTGAAAATTATGCCATGTAAAGATAAGAATGCCAGTGCTGGCTTGCGTGATTATGGCGTCCTTTTTACTTAACTAAAATCCAAATCCCTTTTGCTTTCAGTTTCTCGGTCACGATTTTCACATGAAGTCCGGCTCAAAACACTTTCAGTTACTGACTTTTGATGATTTTCTGTTCAAAGTTCAGTCTTACTGAATGGATATTTATCTTTTTTCGGGGCTCTTATTCGCCTGATGAGTTCTTAAATGCAATTCAATCATTGAAAACTTAGCAGCTGTGGAAATTTACTCCATTTGGGCTTGTTTGATTCATTCAATGCAAGTCAATTTCAAATAGAAAACCACTTATAAAATCATTATTTTTAATGCTTCTGAGTTTGTTGTAACTGAGAAAACCGAGTTTTATGGTGTGGGTTTGTGGAATTTGATAATTTGAAGTAGCTGGTTGATGAGGGGTTGAGTTGCTCTCCACTCTTGAGATGAATTTAAGGCAAAAGAGTGGGAACGATAGAAACATCGATGTTACAAAGAGTAGAGTTGCTGTTGCAGTTAAGGGTTCTAAGGAAATTTCAAGTACTGCTTTGAAATGGGCTTTAACTCATGTGGTTCAACCAGGGGATTGTATTAGGCTGCTCGTTGTCATTCCGACTCACACCGCAAGTAAACCTTTTCTTTTCTGTCTTTCTCTGCTTTAGATCTCCCAGTAAACATTGGAGTGAACATAGCAGAATAGCAAAGACTGATGCAAATTAATTTAATTGGGAATAAGACTTGGTTTGTTGTTGTTAGTTTCACTAATATCAAGAAGTTCTTGTCAATTTATGTCAACAATTTGGCTTTCTTTTTGATGTGGCTATCTTTTATTAACTTGTAGATAAACTGTTTATATTGCTTATTTTGCAATGTGAATTTTGCGATGAGTTATGCTTAGTTGCTATAACTAGTACACTTATATGCTGTTTTTGATTTGAAACCTTTTTATGTTATCTGCTTAAAATAGTTTATGAGATTGTAGCATAAGTGCATAGCATAACTTTGTGATACTTGTAGCAATTATAATCCGCAATAGGTTGTGCCGAAAGTCAACAAGTTGTGTGCATGATGTTTATCATTCAAGAAATCATTTGGCAAGTTAATGTAACACGTTCAATACTATGTTCAGTATTGCATTTTAAGTTCTAAAACCTTTTTTCTGATCTAATAATTTTGCTGTTTTTATTATTAGGTAAAAAACTATGGGGTTTTCCAAGTTTTAATAGTGATTGTTCAACTGCTCACTGGAGATCATTGCCGGGAACATTTCTGGATCTGAAGGACTATATGACAGATTTGTGCAACCAGATGTTGTATCAACTCCATGATATTTATGATCCAGATAAGGTAAATGAGTATACATATGTCGAGCTTTATTCCTTTCTTTCTTTGTTCATGTTGTCTAATAATCAAAGTAATTCAAGACTCCTATTCACTTTACAGGTAATTGTCAAGATGAAAGTCATTTCCGGGTCAAAAGATGGAGTAGTGGCTTCAGAAGCCAAGAGAGCTCAAGCACAGTGGGTTGTTCTGGACAAGTAGGATATGTTTATATATAAACTCTAATTTATGTTTACCTCAAACACAGTTGAGTAGTTTTTGTTTATGTATACACTCTAATACATATGAGAGTTTGGCTCAATTTTTTTACATCCTTCAATTAGATTTTAAATTCTTACTTTGAATATTTGCTAACAGAAAAATGGAAGAAGAAGTAAATTTTTGCATGGAACAGCTTGACTGCAATGTTGTAGTAATGACAAAATCTCAGCCAAAGGTGCTTAGGTTAAATTTGATTGAAAAGCCTAAGATGGAAATTGAGGTTCCGCCCAGGTCGAATTTGTGGAAAACAACTAGGGTGCCAAATGTGACTCCAGCCTGTAGCCCGGAACACACATCATTGACCTCTACTGATGTTGGGAGATCTTCAATCACAAGCTTAGACCAAGGAGCCTCTCCGAGTTTCATTTCTAATATAAATTGGGATCAGAAGGTCAAGGAGATTTTACCATTTACAGTAAGGAACTATGACTATGAAGTATCCAACTCTGATTCGGACAGTGAAACTTCGAGTTCTCCTTCAACAAGTATATGTTCTCAGCAATGGATGGAAGATAATCTCAGTTCTGCTGATGATTATCCAAAGCATTTGAAAAACAGTTTACAAACTACCAATTATAGAACCCCAACTTCCATGTTTGAGGCCTATCACAGAGAATCTTCTGGACTTGATAAAACATCTGGACAAGAGCCAAAAGATACGGATGTAAACATGTACATGAACATGAGAAATCTGATATCATTAAGCAAAAATGCACCCCCTGACCCTCCTCCACTTTGTTCAGTATGTCAGCACAAAGCCCCTGCATTTGGAAAACCTCCAAGGGCGTTCTCTTATGCTGAGCTTGGCCAAGCTACTGATGGGTTTTCTCAAGCTAATTTTTTGGCTGAAGGTGGATATGGTTCTGTACATCGTGGAGTATTACCTGATGGCCAGGTCATAGCTGTCAAGCAACATAAATTGGCCAGTAGCCAGGGTGACCGTGAATTCTCCTCAGAAGTGCAGGTCTTGAGTTGTGCACAGCATCGTAATGTTGTAATGCTGATTGGATATTGTGTGGAGGATCATAGGCGGTTGCTAGTTTATGAATACATCTGCAATGGATCTTTGGACTCTCATCTATATGGTACTTCATTGCTATTCTTATCCATTTTGCATATTTAGCTCTTGTTTGATATCCATTATTTTCAAAATACATTTTTTCTCTATTCTTTTCAACCACACATTCTTCAATAAAACAATATTACACGCAAATCCAAAATTTTTCCTTATTTTTTGACCACACATTTTCCATCAATCATTGTTAAAAAATGCATTCTTTGTCAAATAATGAGGCTCAAACAAGACCTTAATCAATAGCTATCATCAGAGTAATTGATGTTTATAACTATAGGGCTCAGTATTCAATAGACTCAATCTTAATATTATTTGCTCTAATTAGAACTGACTTCTTTTGTTTCGATGTTTTGGCAGCCCTAGTTTGGTTAAAATTGCCTATGAGTATTAAGAACATCTGTCTTGGCACTTTTTGGTTCCAAGTTGGGCTTACGTATTTCAACTAATTTTAAATGCTAATACTCAGGCTTGAAAACTGTCTTTGTCCACGTGATGAAGTAGGACAGAAGTGTTTGTCTGTTAAAATTTAGAGCATCCTGAGTTGTGTTCATGTTTATAAATAGAGAATATATATTCGTCTTGACAAGGAAGCAATGATACATCTTTTCTTCCCAGCCACATAACGCGAGTTTTAAAAGTGCAGGACATAGTCATGATCCCATAGACTGGTCATCACGTCGAAAGATTGCGATTGGAGCTTCTCGAGGTTTGAGATACCTTCACGAGGAGTGCAGAGTAGGCTGTATAGTCCATCGTGATATGCGGCCAAACAATATTCTCCTCACTCATGAATTTGAGGCATTAGTATGTCACAGTCTGTATCGCGTATTTGCTGATTGCCTTGGTGCTCTTTCTTTATTGCTAATAATAGCATGATTTCTTTTCGTTGCCTTTGAATTGAAGCTGAAACTCACGTTTAATTTGACACTAATTTACACTTTGGTGGAAAATCTTTATGTACCTCGAATATAAGAAAGACACGCCGGAGAGGTTTGAAAGAGGGGCTGTTATCATGTTCAATAATAGTATAACTTCTCATTTTGTCTTTTACGTTCTTCTTTTTACTATTTCCTTTTTGCTTCTCATTTAAACAAGGTTGGAGACTTTGGACTAGCAAGATGGCAGCCAGATGGAGATTTGGGTATGGAGACAAGAATAATAGGTACATTTGGGTATTTGGCTCCGGAATACGTACAAAGCGGCCAAGTCACCGAGAAAGCTGATGTGTACTCCTTTGGTGTTGTATTGGTGGAACTGGTCACAGGAAGGAAAGCTGTGGACATTACTCGGCCGAAGGGCCAGCAATGCCTCACAGAATGGGTATGAGCTGAAAATCCATTTCTATGTTACTCATTTCCGAGGGTAATTTGTTTTTTTGAAGTATTAATGCTGAACTTTTCTACAACTTGCATTTTTTTTTATGGACTATAGGCGCGCCCTTTGTTGAAAGAGAATGCCATTTCAAAACTAGTTGATCCAGTCCTAAAGGACTGTTATTCGGAGCAAGAGGTTCAGGACATGCTGCGTTGTGCTTCCCTGTGCCTTCAACAGGACCCTCAAGCAAGGCCTCGCATGTCTCAGGTAAAGAAATTGCACTTAATAACAAGTAGAAAAGATCTAAATTCCTGTTTCATGTGAAGAAATATACGACCAGAGATTGTTCTTGTTCTACTTTGTGCAACAGCTCACTCCCGTCAAGAGTAGGGATTATTGTGCCTTTTTGTCAATTATAGGTGCTTCGGCTATTGGAAGGGGACATTTTCATGGGATGAAACGTTTTAACTTTTACACCTCAATATTTGAACTTTGTTGGACGAAAAGAATTTGGAAATGAAATGCATCCTCGTTGTTGACCGGCTTTGGGAGGAAAACTTCTGCATAAAACAAGAAAGGACAGCTGAACAAAGGCCAATTTGCATACTAAAGAGACAATCTGCAACATTCATTATAATTGTTGTGATTTGCATACTAAAGAGACAATTTTCTTTCTGATTTTCTCCAGCAGCTTAATGAATTATAATTGTTGTGTATCTTTGTTAAAGATAGATATAGGATTCACATTGTGGTTTCTTTCAAACTATTTCAGTTTGCATATTTCTACTGTTGTAACATATTATTATATACAATTGGGGTCACTGATCTTTCGGCAAAATTTCAATTTAGTCACTGAACTCTAATTTGTCTAATTTGGTCACTGATATTTAATTTACTTTCAAATTTCGTCTCAGTTACATGACATTATAACTGACATAAAGTGCTTGGTTGATAGTCATATCATTGACCGTCCATGTAATCCGCAAACGAAAAAGTTAAAACGAGAATTAAAGGAATATTTTAAAATTAAAAGGTAAAATGCTTTTTTTTTTTTAATTTTAACGTTTTTATAATGTAGTGTGGTGGTAAGTTGGTATGTCACATTAATTTTATGGATGATTCATTGCCATATGATTGTCGTCAAAACAATTTACATCAATTAATTTGAAACTAAATTAATGCTACTTCACTGAAAATAAAATTAATTATTTGTGAACTAATTAAGACATTAAAATGTAGTGAACTAATTGAAATTTTGTTGTAAGTTAACTGAAAGCAAATGTAATTTACCCAGATACATGGATCATAAAAAAAATAAAAGAAAAAAGAAGCATAAAAACCCATTGTTGTAGGGAACTAGTATACTTACCTCTTGTTTGATAACATTTTTTTTTTTTTTTAAATTATTAGTATACTCATTTTCAACTACACATACTTATAATAAAATATTTTCACATAAATCTAAAATTTTTTCTTATTTTTTAATCACATATTTTTCATCATAACACTATTTAAAAATGCATTTTTTTTTGAAAAAAAAAAAATGGAGCTCAAACAAATCTTAAATTAATCACCGAATTTTTTTTGATATAAAAGTATTTAGATAAAACTTGAAATTTGCACATATCACACTAGAATCTTGAATAAATTTAGTTAGGATTTTTTTTAAAATTTGAATTCCATGCATCACTGGATTGTTTGTGATAAGTCCAATTTAAAATTTAATTTAAGAGTCCTATTAAAGTTCGAAGTAGGCAATATCCTGATCACAATTATTTAACAATCCTAATTCACACGCCAATTCACGGGAAAGTCGGAGAGAGAGAAGAAGAAAAAAAATATATGAAAAAGGAAAATAAAAAGTGTCTGGTCATAAGTAGCTCAAGTATACAAGTAATTTAAAGAATAAGGTCCGGATTTCTCTACATGCCAAGTGATTTTGTGTTTTCACTTTTTAATATTTTAAGTTAAGTAATTTATATGATATTATGTGAACCAAATTAATAGTAATAAGGATCTTGTAGGTTATACCATATAGTATTATGTAGATCTACGCAGAAACCATCCATAGGACTACAAACCCTTGGTGGAGATTGAAAATGTGTATGATCTAATTGAGAATGAGACGGTCAGATTTCTTTTCCCATTAGAAAATTATGTTATGTGCGAAATTTTACTTGCTTTTTATATTAAATTGTGAAAATAATGGCATGAAATCTGTATTTAGTGTATTCATATGCTCATTCCATATTCTAAATTATTTTATAGATACTTGATTGATCGCAGTTGGAGGTTGATATTGCTGAGAATTTGTGTAGCTGGATAAATAATTTTAAATTTTCTTTCAGTATTTAATTAGAAAATTGTTTTTCAAATAATAATTTTATTTTCAAATTGATATTGAAAATAAGTAATGAATTTTTATTTTCAGTAGTGGATTGAATTAATTGATATTTTATGAGACAATAAACTAGCTTATTTTATTCCGCATAATATTTTAAATTTCGTTAACATATGAGTCAATAGCAACCTTCCGGTGATAGATTCCGGGACATTACACCATTATTCAATTAATAATATCCAGGAGACTATTAGTTGGGTAATGTAAAACACTTGTAGGAGAGATGATGATTTGTGTCTAGACAGTGTTACCATAAAGATGACAGATAAATGAGCATTTTCTTTCAAGCTATATTCCCCTACACGTTAATTTTAATTATATCTCAACATAGAGGTGTCAAGACGGATAGGTCGGACAGATCAGCGAAAATTGACCAGGATCGACCCCGGACAGCAGGGCCGACCCGTGACCCAAGCGGACGGTTCACGGGTCAAGGAGGCGTGACCCGCGGGCTTCGCGGGTTGCACCTTTAAGGGCCGCGGTTAACCCACTGGCCCGTGAAAAAAAAAATTAAAAAATTTATAAAAAAAGGGGGCTCTCCCCCAGCTAGCTTGCTGCAGGCTGACACCTGCTAGTCTACATGCATGCTGGCTATGCCTGCATGCTATATATATATATTTTCTAAGCTACAGGCTGGCAGGTGCATGGAGATACAGCCTGCAACAGGCGTAGTCTGCATGCTTTAATTTTTTTTTTTTTTATCTAACGGTAATAATCTATATTTCATCTATAAATTTCAGTTAAGAAAAGATATTTATCTCACTTGTAGCCTTCCAAAAAATTATACTTGTTATTACAATTGCAAATATCATCATTATACATCTCTATTATATTTCTTTCTTCTCACTATTAAACTGTTTAATATTATTATATTATGGATTCTTACAATTTTTCTTTTGAAAATCCATTTTTCAATGATAGTTGCTCCCCAATAAATTTGGAAGATGATAATGTTGTAAAAGTTGGATCATCTCAAAATTCAAGGAAAAAAACAAATATCAGAGGTGTGGCAAATTTGTACAGTAAATGAAAAGGATAGAAAAGCAGTATGCAATATCTGCAAAAAAAAAAATTATGTCTAGAGATATAGTCAAGGCACCGGCACACTACGGAGACACAAAGAGAAACATCTAAATGAAATAGGACATTTGGATTCTAGACAAACTCAAATCACTGGTTTTACTAATGCTAGTGGATCAGTTACTTTTACTAATTTTGTTTATTCGCAGGAATGAATGCGAGTTGAGATGTCGAAATTTTTAGCAGCTCGTGAGATGCTCTTCACATTTGCAGAAGATCAGTATTTTGAAGAGTTCCTGCAATAGTACATTTATCCTTCTTACATGAACGTAAGTAGAAATATTGCTTGTTTTGATTCTATGAAATTATTTTATGGTTGAGAATTTAAAAAATGAACTTAAAAAAATTGATGGAATTATGTGTTTCACGTCTGATT